GAGGAGGAGGAGGAGGAGGACGAGGCGGAAGGGGAGGAGGCGGAGGAGGAGGAGGAGGAGGAGGACCAGTGTAAACCCAAGAGTCATCAATGATGTTGGAGTACGCCCTTCCTCCAAGCTCCCTCTTCATAGGCCCCTAGAGCGGTAATTTCCATTGATGGAATTGCCCCGTTGGAAGACACCCGTTTGAAGACCCTGAAGCATGCCACAACATCGTTCTCGGGATCCCAACGCCACGGATTAATCTGACTGTTGCGTTTCGACGACCTTGAACCGTGCCAGAACGCCATTCTTAGGACACAGAGAACCAACGTAACTCTTGCACCCACATAACCCAGAATCCTTCCTAAACACATTTTCTGGTATGTTGCTGATGGGAACCCGTAAAACTCTTGCAACTGTTTTAAACGAATGTACGCGGCGCTAACTCGAGAGCCACATTTTGAAAGGAACCATCCTTACTCAGTGAAACTAGTGCATTGGTTACAACGAGCGCTAAAGCGAGAGCCACATTTTGAAAAGGAGCCGCCCTCAATCCGTGAAGCTCTTGCGAAGTTTTAAAACGAATGCGCGCCGCGCTAAGGCGAGAGCCACATGTTGAAAAAGAAGCGCCTTCAACATGTGAAGCTCTTGCGGAGTTTAAAACGAATGCGCGCCGCGCTAAGGTGAGAGCCACATGTTGAAAACCACCCGCCTTCAATCCGTGAAACTCTTGCAAAAGTTTAAAACGAATGTGCGCGCCCCGCCAAGGCGAGAGCCACACTTTGAAAACGATCCGCCCTCCATATGTGAACCTGTTGCCCATGTTTAAGCTTCGGAGTCATAGATGGTGCGGAAGTCACGGGCGAAACGCCCGGCCCGCCCTAAAAACTGGCCTCGGGGTGCGACAGGGAGAAGCAATGTATAAAGGAAAGGAGGAGGAGGAAGAGGAGGAGGAGGAGGAGGAGGAGGGAGGGAGGGAGGGAGGGCGGGAGGGAGGGAGGGAGGGAGGGAGGCGGAGGAGGCGGAGGAGGAGGCGGAGGAGGAGGAGGCGCAGGACGAGGAGGAGAACGAGGAGGTGGACGAGGAGGGGGAGCACAGCGAGGACGAGAGGAGGCTCCTCCACCCTCTCCTCCTCTCTTTCCTTTTCTTACTGTCTGCGTCGGGCAGACGTTGAGCGAAACTTGTAGCGTCAGGCAACTTGACTCCTATGGGCAAGCGAAAAACATCTCAGAGAGAAACGAGTGAAACTGACCCTCTTCTTGCTCCTCCGGATCCCCTGTGCACCTCGGGCGGAGGGCGGGGGCACGCTGGACAGCAGCTCCCTTTCATGGCGCCCCCCCCGCCCCAGGAATACCGCGGCAAGTTCACTGCGAACTTCCGTGCGCTCTTCGCTGGCGAGGACCTCGGCCAGGTGAGGCTCAGGAGGGGGAGACACATTTGAGGGGGTCCTCTAGGTCCCTGGGGGGGTGTCTCCAGGCTTTCAGGGCTCCTGGGAGGGAAGAAGAGGAAGATCAGAGGAGGAAAGGGTACCCATACCGCTACCCCTCCCTCGTTTTCATGTGTTGCGCCTCCTGGGAGGCCCTCGTCGCCACCGTTGGATTCGCATCGATATTCCGGCCAGGAAGCACCCCAGGAAAGGTCCAGGGGAGTAACGATATCGGTGCCTTTTGGTTTCCCCAGATGTGGGCTCCGGCAGAGTTCACTTGGCCTCGTACACCTGTTCTCACCGCGGACATGTCACATCGGGAGTTCGAACAGAACGCCAGGAGGGCTCCGAGGGTCCCCGCGAACCCGCGTGGGCCTCATGAGGCTCACGGAGGCGTTCGGAAGCCACTGGAGGTCCAAGGAGGGCCAAGCACGCCCAAGACTTGCATCCCGGATTTTCGAGGGTCGAGAAGGAAGACTGGGAGGATGAGCAGGGTGTTGCTGCAGCGGAGCGGGCCTGCAGGGAGGAGGGAGGGGCGGGGCGCCAACCCGGCGCCGCGGGGGAGGATCGGGGCTGGGTCTCCTTGGGCGCTTGGCTCTGGCTCCTCCCTGCTTTCCTCCCCTGCAGGGCCAGAGCTACGGCGCGGACATCCTCTCTCTCTCTCTCTCTCTCTCTCTAGCTATATATCCTCTCTCTCTATATACGTAGCCCCCCGCAATTGCGGATAAGAGTGAGGGGGCGGGCGCGGGCGACGCGGGCGTCGTCAAGCCGGCGGACCTCGTGGCCCCCACCTTCCCTGTCGATGGCGCTCTCCTCCTCCTCCTCCTCCTCCTCCTCCTCCTCTTCTTCCTCGTCCTCCCTCTCCCCCCCTCGTCCTTCCATCATCGTCATCCCATTGTCGTCATGTTTCTCCTCGTCGTCCTCCTCCTCCTCTTCCCCCCCTCCCGATCCTCCCACCTCCTCCTTTTCGTCGTCGTCGTCGACGTCGTCGTCGTCCCCTTCCTCCTCCTCCTCCTCCTCCTCCTCCTCCTCCTCCTCCTCGTCCTCCTGCAAAAGCAGCCCGCCGCAGGCGCCGAAAAATTTGGTTTGTACCCTGAACGTGGTCGCGGGTGGGCCGCGGTCTCTCCACCTAGAACGAATGCAAAAGATGCCTGCCGCAGGCGCCGAAAAATGTGGTTTGTACCCTGAACGCGGTTTGGGTCGCGGGTTGGTCGCGAGTTGGTCGCGGGGTGGGTCGCGGGCTCTCCACCTGGAAGGAACGCAAAAAAGCCCGCCGCAGGCGCCGAAAATGTTGGTTTATACCTTGAACGTGGTTTGGGTCGAAGGTGGGTCGCGGGTGGGTCGCGGGGTGGGTCGCGGGTGGGTCGCGGGTGGGTCGCGGGTGGGTCGCGGGTGGGGTCGCGGGGTGGGCCGCGGGCGGGTCGCGGGGTGGGTCGCGGGTGGGTCGCGGGTGGGTCGCGGGTGGGTCGCGGGGTGGGTCGCGGGATGGGTCGCGGGGTGGGTCGCGGGATGGGTCGCGGGTGGGTCGCGGGTGGGTCGCGGGTGGGTCGCGGGTGGGTCGCGGGGTGGGTCGCTGGGTCGCGGGGCGGGTGTGCCGCGGGTGGGTTGCGGTGGGACGACGACAAACAAAGAACAACAACAAACAACAACAAACAACAACACGAATCCGCACCGCGGAATCCCACTTCAGCCACGCACCCAGGTGACCGTTCGGCCCCCTCACTCTGTGATATATATAATATATATATATATATATATATATATATATATATATATAGATAGCCCTGTGCACCCACCAAGAACCCCCCCTTTCTCATGATTATATATATATATATGATTTTATATATGATCCCTACGATTTTCGGACTCACTTTTGAGGCTCTTTTTTGGAAGACTTCTTGGGCTCCCTTCTACTCAACTCCCTCCGTCTCCAACACAAAACCCATTACTCGACAGCCTCCTTCTCCAACACAACACCCGATACTCAACAGGCTCCCTCCCCAAGCTGAACTTGAAAAGAACCTTCTACTCAACTCCCTCTGTCTCCAACACAACACCCAGTACTCAACAGCCTCCTTCTCCAACACAACACCCGATACTCAACAGGCTCCCTCCCCAAGCGGAACTTGAAAAGAACCTTCTACTCAACTCCCTTCCGTCTCCAACACAACACCCAGTACTCAACAGCCTCCTTCTCCAACACAGCACCCGATACTCAACAGGCTCCCTCCCCAAGCTGAACTTGAAAAGAACCTTCTACTCAACTCCCTCCGTCTCCAACACAACACCCAGTACTCAACAGCCTCCTTCTCCAACACAACACCCGATACTCAACAGGCTCCCTCCCCAAGCTGCACCAAGAACCCCCCTTTCTCATGATTATATATGAACCTTTTTCTCACTCAAGACTCCCTCCTCAACTCCCTCCGTCTCCAACACAACACCCAGTACTCAACAGCCTCCTTCTCCAACACAACACCCGATACTCAACAGGATCCCTCCCCAAGCTGAACTTGAAAAGAACCTTCTACTCAACTCCCTCCGTCTTCAACACAACACCCAGTACTCAACAGCCTCCTTCTCCAACACAACACCCGATACTCAACAGGATCCCTCCCCAAGCTGAACTTGAAAATAAGCTTCTACTCAACTCCCTCCGTCTCCAACACAACACCCAGTACTCAACAGCCTCCTTCTCCAACACAACACCCGATACTCAACAGGCTCCCTCCGTCTCCAACACACACACATGTACTCCAGATCCTACCACCACAACACGACGCGACACCCGAAATTCCAACCGCACCCGCCGCCCTTTTTTCTTGGCATCTTCCAAGAGAAAAAAGGGGGGTTCATGGTGGGTGCTGCGGCCTATGTATATATATCCTGTCTCTATATATCCTCTCTCTCTATATTCTCTTCGCTCCCCGTAGGGGTGTGCCTGCCTAGAGGGCGAGGCGCCCCCCCGTGCCGAGTGCGCCAGCGAACTGCCAGGTTGCAAGGTCAGTAAGATCCCCTCGGAGTTTTCAGTAGATCGTCGGTGTCGTCCACGATTGGCTGATGCGGTAGAGAAAACTCCACGAGCTGTATCGCGTCGTATCGCATCTGCCCTCTTCGCTCCTCTCGCCTCCCTCCCTTCTCTCCCTCCGTCCTCTCCCCTCGGCCTTCTGCCTCTCTTCCTTTCTAACTCCCATCCCCGCAGGACCGGAGCTACCGCGTGGACATTCTGGAGGCGGCGCTGTCCCTCATGCCGGCGGTGTGGGCGAACGGAGAGGCGGCCCCGGAGGGCAGGTGGGATGGGAGGGGGGGGGGGGGAAAGGGAGGGGGGGGGGGGAGGCAACGGAAAGCGTCAGGGGAGGGAGACCTCCTCGCGTCGCGGACAAAACCACGGCGGCAGAATTGCGCTTCTCGCCAGTCGTCGCAGCCTGCACCGAGTGAGACAAGTACCTCATTGCTCTTCGATGGTCCGCTCCCTCCCTTCCAATTGTTGTGGTTTAGGAAAAGCACGACGGACAGGGTTCGGCAATTTTTCGGGGCCCTGAATGATGCACTAGGCCGCTAGACAGTCAAAACTATATTCCAGATGAAGAAGCCAGTTCCGGGGAAGGGGTCGAGGCTTCGCGAAGCGATCCACGACGTCTGGGGTCCGCGGAGAAAGGGGAGGGGAGGGAGGCAAGGGAAGTGGGGCCGAGAGGAGGCAGGGGAGAGGGGTGGAAGGAGTGGTGGCAGGGGAGGTGGCAGAGGGGGAAGAGGTTCTACGGAAGGATTCATGCCAGCTCTGGTGGTTCAGACGGGAGGTCAACAAGTTTCTGACCAACGTCGTTTTCGTGTTTCCTCCGAAGAGTTGTCACAACTCCTTGGATCAAGTAGCGTCTGAAGAAGCACAGACAGAGAAAACGTCGGAGGGGAAGTAGTGAGGTGAGGGGCAGTTCAAGAGATAGGCATGGTCTGGAGAGGTCTGCGCAGGGTCTATTCAGGGCATCCTTCGAGGCGCGTCTCAGGGCCTTGCGGGTGGTCTCTTTCCGAGAGAACAGGATGATGATGTTGATGATGATGTTGATGATGATGCTGACGATGATGATGATGATGCTGATGCTGATGCTGATGCTGATGATGATGAAGATGATGACGATGATGATGATGCTGATGATGATGATGACGATGATGATGATGATGATGATGATGCTGATGATGATGATGATGATGATGGTGGTGGTGGTGATGATGATGATGATGATGATGGTGGTGGTGGTGGTGGTGGTAGTGAGTAGTGGTGGTGCCGGTGATGATGATGCGGAGGAGAAAGAGGAGGAAATCTTCTCCCCTCCCAGCCCCTCATGCTCGGCTAGTCGGGACGATTTCTGGGCTCCCCAGAAGGCTCGATCAACGAAGCTTGGAGGCCCCCAAACAGTGTGGTGCGCGCCAGGGGCGGCGCCGGAGGCGCCGCCAGGGAGGTCCAACGCAAATCCAAGAAATCCGTGCGGACCGTCAAAAGTTTTTGCTTATGTAGTTTTGTTCTTCCTACCGCACGCTCCGGCGCCACACAGCTCTGGGCCCCACGAGTTTTTTTTTGGCCCATCAAGCATGATACAGCCCCTAACCATGAATTCGTGGCCTGATTTGGGTCCACGGTTTTAAGGCATATCCCTACACATATGGGTGGCTCCGTCTGATACGTGCACCCTTTTCCCGGTGTTTTGCTGGCCCTCATTACTGAGGTCCCCCCCAAAGGTGGAGACACCGAAAGGTACCCATGCTGCTACTCCCCGGACCTCTCCCGGGGCGCGTTCAGACCAGGACTTCGAGGCGCATCCAGTGGTGGCGACGAGGGCCTCCCAGGAGGCCCCAAACGGGGAAAACGAGGCAAGCCTAGCGGTACGGGTACCCTTTCCTCCTCCGGAGATAGGGGGCGAACATTGACATAAACATAATGAGTCGGAGGTCCGCGCGGATGTCTCGGATCGGCGCTGGGGCCTCTTTGCGGCGCCTCCGGCGCCGCCCCTGGCGCTTTCCGCGCGCCAGGGAGGGGGGACCCCAGCGCCGATCCGAGACATCCGCACGGACCTCCGAGTTTTTATGCTTATGTTATTGTTGGTTCCCCTAGAGGGCGAGGGGTACAGTGGAGACCCATGCCAAGAAATACCCTGCTTGCCTCTAGGGTGCCCTGGGTTTCTTGCGTCTCGATGGTTTCGCCGTAGAAAGCGCGTCGCTCCCACACCAAAAGTCAATGGACGTCCTGGGGTCTCAGGGTTGGACTTCTTGTGGCAGGTTTCCTGTGGACTGGCCTCCACTGTACCTTTATCGCTTGTCGTTTGGGGTGGCCCGCAGGCCTACCAGCTCGGCGAGGAGGCCATGAGCCGCGCCCTCGGGCTGCGCCAGGCCTGGGCCGCGCTCGGCGAGCTCTTCGACGGGTGGGCGTCGCCGGAGCACGAGCCGGGGCAGGCCGAGAGGGGCAGGAGGAGGAGAAGGAGGAGGCGCTGGAGGAGGAGGAGGAGGAGGAGGCGGCGCTGGAGGAGGAGGAGGACGAGGCGGAGGAGGAGGAGGAGGAGGAGGAGGAGGAGGAGAAGGAGGAGGAGGAGGAGGAGCACGAGGAGGAGGAGGAGAAGGATGAGGAGGAGGAGGAGGAGGAGGAGGAGGAGGAGGAAGAGGAGGAGGTGGAGACATGATGAGGAGGAGGATGAGAGGAGGAGGAGGAGAGAGGAGGAGGAGGAGGCGGAGGAAGTGGAGGAGGAGGAGGAGCGGAGGAGGCGGAGGAGGAGAGGAGGAAGAGGAGGAGGAGGAGGAGGAGGAGGGAAGGAGAGGAGGAGGAGAGGAGGACGAGAGGAGGAGGAGAATGAGGAGGAAGGAGGAGGCGGAGGAGGAAGAGAGGAGAAGGAGGCGGAGGAGGAGGCGGAGGAGGCGGAGGAGGCGGAGGAGGCGGAGGAGGAGAAGGGGAAGGAAGATGAGGAGGAGGGGAGGAGCAGGCGGAGGAGGAGGAGGCGGAGGAGGAGGAGGAGGAGGAGGAGAAATAGGAGGCGGAGGAGGAGGAGCTCTGAGGTACAGTCGGACCGAGGTACAAACGATCGATGCCGGTTTTTGAAGGGTGCCCTATGGTTCTTCGTGCTTAAGGGGTGTTCCTCCCCCCTTCTTCTGCGGCCGACTTGTCTGTATCGTTTCCCCTCTCTTGCACGCTGGTCACCTCGCCATTTCGGTTGCCCCGAATCGCCACTCGCTGGTGCGGACAACCTCCGCCTCGCCGCCGACAGAAACGTTCGTTGGGTGTTCTTGTGCATCCTGGGGGAGGGTGCCTTCGAGTGATCGTAGGGTCTGGGGGGCTGTGGCCGGCCGAGGGTCTCATGTTCTCGAAGGAGGTCTTTTTCTCTGGCCAAGGTCCGATTGCATCGCACGACGAGCACTATTCGGCGGCGCGCCCGGGTGGGAAATTCGGGAGCTTCGGGCTCGAGCCTCGAGGTCCTCGGGCGTTTTCGTTCATCCTCGGCGGACTTCCAGCCGCGGGGGTGCTTTCCAGCGGCTGCGCCTCGCCGAGAGGAGCTCCGGGGGTGCCCGGATCGTTCCGAGCGGCCGCTGGATGCTCGAGTTAGGACCCGAGCATATCAAGCTCGGCGGCGAGCCCAGGGGGGAAGTGAAGCTCGAGCAGGGGCGGGCCTCTTTGGTCTTTCGAAGAGTGTGCGCAGTCTTCCCCGGTGTGGGCAGGATGCTTCTCAGGCGGCGGGAGGGCTGCTGAGGAAGTCCTTCCGCCTTCGGAGAAGGCCCGCTGCTTGTCGCTTCCGCCGCGGCCGCCCCGAAGGGATGGGCTGAAGGATCTGGCGATGAGAACAGGGGGGCTGCCATCCCATCTTCGGCCCGCTGGGCGACAGGTGGGTCGTAGGTGTGGTGGTGTCGTCGTTGCGGTGGTGTCGTAGGTGCGTCGTAGGTGGTCGTCGGTGAGCAAGTTCCTGGGCTTTCAACATCGCTTGGCCGTGGGTGGGGTGGTGTCGTTTGGTTTCTGGTCCAAGCTCGGAGACGGGGCAGGCCGAGAGGGGAGGAGTGGAGGTTTCTCGAAAAAAGACGAATGGCCTATGCATAGATTGTCGGAGCTCCGGGGTTTCTTGGGTTTCGATGATTTTGCTCTGGAGAGCGTGTGCAGTTCCCACACCAAACACCAGTGGACGTCCTGTGGTCTCAGGGCTGGGCTTCTTGCGGAAGGCTCCTTGTGAGCTTGGCCTCCACTGTAGGCGCTGTGCACCTGCACCGATCCTGGCCAGGCGCATCCTGGGCCCAGGATCGGTGCACGTGCCTCCCCAGACCGGGCCCAGGGGGGCCAGGCCGCGAGGGCCAGGCCGCGAGGGGGGCCCTGGGGCACGGGCCGGGGCAGGTTGCGAGGGGCCGTCTTTGGGAGCCCTCCTGGGGCCGCGCAGTGGCGTGGCGTCCCGGCTTGCCTATATGGGCCCATCAAAAAATGTCGGAGAGCCGTTTGTGGTCTGCACGGAGTGATATTAGAACATTTCTGGCCGATATTGGTTTGTTTCAACGCATCGGGCTTCTGTTCTAAGAATATTGTTTTTGTTATCAGAACATTTTTGTGTTCTAAGAGCATTTCGTGGTAGGCCTATAGGAATGCCGGGACGGTCGGTCCCTCCTCATCTGTTGGGACATTTGGACGCTCTTGCAGCCGTCTTGGGGCGGTTTTGGGGACGTCGTGTTCGGCCTCGGACGCCCAGAAGACAGAAGACGTGGGCATACCGAAGTCATGCACGAGTATATGCAAAGTGAGTGATTCGCTCGTTTCGGGAACCTCCTTGGGTACCGTTTTTCCCAGCCATCCTGTGGTGTTGGGACCTCGTCTTGAATAGGCAGTCCTCTCTTCTCCTCCTCCTCTCCTCTGCTCTCCTCTCCTCCTCCTCCTCCTCCTCCTCCTCCTCCTCCTCCTCCTCCTCCTCCTCCTCCTCCTCATCATCATCATCATCATCATCATCATCATCATCATCATCATCATCCAGCTCTTCCTCCCCCTCCTCCCTCCTCCCGTCACCCCCCTCACTTTGGCGCACCCCTCAAACGTTTCGTGGCCCCATACCGAGCTCCACCGAAGGCTCCAGTGGCATGGTTCGCATGCCGCGCCCCTTACACTGTGGCACACCCATCACACGTTTCGTGCCCCCCCCCAGGGAGTTCCATCGAAGGCCCCAGTGGCATGATTAGCATGCCGCCCCTCCACTTTGGCACACCCCGCATACGTTTCGCGTTTCGTGGTCCCATGCGGAGCTCCGCCGAAGGCCCCAGCGGCATGGTTCGCATGCCGCCCCCCCTCCACTTTGACACCCGCATGCGTTTCGTGGCCCCATGGGGAGCTCCACTGAAGGCCCCAGCGGCAGCGCCCGCATGGCGGCCTCGCCACATGGTTGCGCTTCGTGCCCATAGGGAACTCCACCGAAGGCAGTTCTCACAACGGCGGTATTCACAGCTGCATATGGTTGGGTCCTTCGCCAGGATAATTGTTGTCTTCGGGGTCTCCTGGGTTTCTTGGGCCGCTCGGGGCTCAGGTGACGCCGTTCGGACGCTCTGGGAGGCGCCTTGGGCCCACCTTGGACCGTCTGGAGCCTCTCTTGGGGCTGCCTTAGGGCTCTGTTGGGCGGTCCCGATCATGTTTTGTTTTGTTGCTGCATGCTGCGAGCCTTGGGCAGTGACCTGGCAGGGGAGGAGGAGGCAAGGGGAGGGGATGGGCAAGAGTAAGAGCAAGAGTAAGAGTAAGAGTCCCAGGACGGTGTCCAAAAAGGGGAGGGGAGGGGGAGGGAGACAGGGCGGGGGGAGGAGGGAAGGGGAGGGGAGGGGAGAGGGAGGGGACGGGACGGGAGGGGAAGGGGAGGAGGAGAAGAGGAGGAAAGGGGAGGAGAGGGGGGAGGGATCTGGCCCGCCCGCGCCGCCCCGAATGGGGCCTGCCGGCCACCCGGCCAGCGGCCCCGCGCGCCTCGCCCCGCCCCGCCTCGCCCCGTTGTTATGGGCGGCCTCGGGGCGCCGGGGCGATCTCGGGGGCCCCTGGGCGGCCTCGGACGCCCAGAAGAGGACGGGGAGGAGGACGAGGGCGAGGAGCAGGAGGAGGAGGAGGAGGAGGAGGACGAGGACGAGGACGAGGAGCAGGAGGAGGAGGAGGAAGAGGACGAGGGCGAGGACAATGACGAGGAGGAGGAGGAGGAGGAGGAGGAGGGAGGAGGAGGGAGGAGGAGGAGGAGGAGGAGGAGGAGGAGGAGGAGGGGGGAGGAGGAGGAGGAACAGGAGGAGCACAAGGACGAGGACGAGGACAAGGACGAGGAGCCGGAGATGAGGGTATACTGAAGTTGTGCAAAACCTCATGCCCTTTCTGGGAGCCTCCTGGGCCGTCTTGGACGCTCTCAACCTGGAAGAGATGTGCGGACACATGGGTTTCGTATTGTTGTTGTGTTTCCTGTGTCAGCCCTGAGGGCTCCCAAGGCGCACCCAAAGGCCCCCAAGAGGGCTGCAGGACGGGCCTAGAGACCATCATTTTCACAGCACTGTGGGCTTGGCATGTCCTAAGCTGCACTTCAGGGGCCGGCGCTATGGGGGGTTACTCTGCTGTTCCCTTCGTGGCTTCCTCCTTTCCTGTTTCACTTGCAACAAATTGGTCCGATGCATGAGCTCCTCAGGAGCTGTCGTGTTCTGCAACCATGATACTGCTGCTAGCCTTCACTGTATTGTTACATGTCCTATACACTCTAATTTTGGAAAGAGCGTTTTCTGTCTCTGCTGGCACGGGGGGAGGGGGTTTCAACCCCCCCTCGCCCTCCCCCCCCAACAAAAACCAGGGGGAGTTCCAGAACCAGCCCCCCCAGGAAAATGATTCGGCGGTGTCCAGAATCTCCCACCCGCCCCCCCCCCAGAACAATTATCCGGGGGGTCCAGATACCCCCCCCCTTGCAACGACGACGAGGACGTCGTCGTTGCCGCAGCCGCCAGCAAACGAAGCGGACGCCGACGCCAACGACGACGACGACGCCGACGCCGACGCCGTTCCCAACGCCGACGCCGACGCCGACGAGGACGACGACGCCGCCGATGACGACGACGCTGACGACGCCGATGACGCCGAGGACGACGACGACGACGACGAGGACGTGGACGTTGCCACAGCCGCAAGCAAACGAAGCGGACGCCGACGCCGACGCCGACGACGACGCCGTTCCCGACGCCGACGCCGACGACGACGACGACGACACCGCTGACGACGACGACGGCGGCGACGGACCTCGCACGACGCAAGACGCCCGACGACCACGCCGACGCCGACGCCGACGCCGACCGACGACGACGCCGACGCCGATGCCGATGACGCCGACTACGACGCGGACGGCGACGACGATGACGATGACGACGAAGACGACGCCGACGGGCAGAGTAGAGTAGGCACAGAGTAGATTATAATATGCGTAGGAAAGAGTTTTGGAGAGTGGACTCGAGTAGAGTTGGGCGGGTTACGGCAGGGTAGAGTGGTTGAGAGGCGAGTACGCATATGTAGATCATACTCGAGTAGATTCGAGAGTAACCGCGTAGAGGGGAGCATAAATATAATAGAGTAGAGCAGAGCCGAGTAGAGCAGAGTAGAGTATTTTCCAGTTCGGAGTAGAGTAGAGTAGGAGCAAGGTGGAGTGGAGCAGAGTATGTTCGGCACGGTAGGTAGAGTAGAGTGGGGTAGAGTAGAGTAGAGTAGATTAGAGTAGGGTTGACCAGAGTAGGGTAGAGTACAGTAGGGGGCCTAGTAGAATTCTGAGAGAGCTGGAGCGAGCCCTAGTAACATTCTATCAGAGCCGTCGCCTGGCGTGGGCGCCAGCGACGGGTGCGCCGCCACGGCCGTTGACGTTGTCACCGTCGTCGTCGTCGTTGCCGAGGAGGTGGGCGGCTGCGAACTCCCGGATAATTTTCCCCAGGGGGGGGGGGGGTCCGGACGCCCCAGGTTGTTTGCGGGGGGGGGGGGTTAGACGGTGAGATTCGAGGGGGGGTCGCCTGGTTTTGTGATGCACCTTTTTGGATTTTACTTGGGAAAGGGGTGTGTGTCCTGGTTTCTGATCCATTGTTATAGTTTTTAAGCCGGCCATGGTGGATCGCGCACCCTCCATGGGGGCAACACCTTCCGATTACCTCCTGGTAGGCAGTCCTTGACACTCGAACAGCCGTTGCGTGTCCAAGCTCGTGCATCCAAACTGAATTCCCTCCTCCGTGGATCGCCCGCTCGCTGGCGGTGCCTCTGGGTGAAGAAGCCAGGGGCAGCAGTAGGTGGGGACAGGCCCAGGGGGGAGCGCATCGACCCTCAACCGCCCATTCCTCGGCCGATCGGGGCCTGACAGCTTACACTGCCCGCGGACGTGCGGGTTCTCTCTATCGGGGGCTTGTCGCCGATCGTTGGGCGATGTATCGCCGATTCCAGGTCGATGCATCCCCCTCCGAGTTGGTCCCCCCCTCGTTGCCCCTCAAGGGAAGGGCCTTCGGCGCTGGCGCGCGCCCGAGAGGCCCGCCGGGAGATGTGCGAGCGCTTGGAGCGCCTCGACGTCGCTTGGGCCTCCTTCGAGGACGCGGTTGCCCCCCCGCGCGGCGCCCACCCATTAAGATCCATTAAGCACCTTGCCCTCTTTCTGCGACCACCATCAGGGTTGTGCAGGACGATCAATGGATAGGAGGCATGTGGCCAAATGAGTTCCAGATGACATGTTTTAATGAACATGTAAAGCATGTTTTCCATTTTCGACCCAGAAGCGCACACGCATGCGCATCGCCGATCTAGCGGCGATGCATCGCCGACTCCCGCTCGATGACCCCCCTCCCCCTGAGCGGGTCCCCCCCTGTCGTCCCCCCTCAATCTTTCTGCGACCACATGCGATCCGTACACCTACGGGCCCAGTCGACGCCATAGTATTGGACGCCCCCTGGGGGGTCCACACTTGGTTGCGGCCATCCTTCATGTTGTGACCCCCCGTACGTGCTTCAGACATTGAAGTCTCACATGCGCAGGGGTATGTCTGGGAATAGGGTTCACATGGCGGTTGCCTGCTCTCAGGGGGGGAAAGATCACACAGACAGAATTAAATGTCGACTTCCACGAAACTATAGGAACATAGAAAGGGGGGGGAGGACGAAAATCAAGAACATATGGGGAATCCTGGGATTTATGTGTTTAGATTATTGTGTGTGTGTTCCTGGGCCCCTTGGTATCCATCTGCCGTCTCCAAGCTTCCGGCAGTCCATGTCTCGGCTGCAGGAGGCTTGGAGACGGCAACGGGGGGGGCAATAAACTTGGGGCGGCAATGGGGGGGCAATAAACGTGGGGGGCGGGTCGAGGCTTACAGGGAAGTGGACGTAGAGGGGCCCTAGGAGGCCCCTGCACTGCCACCGGGGGCCCCAAGCGGGTCACGCCAGGGGCACTCTCTCTTCGCCGCCGCCTCCCCGACAAGAACACCCGACATCGTCGATCTTGTTTGTGCTGGATGGCAGAGTCTGGAACAATCGATGCCAGAGGGGGGCATGCAGGGAATCATCAAGAATAACATAACCCCTAACCCTAACATCACAATGAAGACGTCGCCTGAATTCAGTTATCACGACGTCGCCTGGATTAGGTCCCCGTGCTTGCATGAGGGATCATGGGTCGGGGTGGTTTGGTTTGACACACCTGCAGAGCAGATCCCCTACATCCCCAATGTCTTGGGCCTCTAATCTCAGGTCCGCGTCCAAAGAGTTGGGAATCCGTTACTTCCTGATCAGGGAAGGCCCCCAGTCGAGGGTTTTAGGGGCCCAGTGGTGAAGCGAGATGTTTGCGGCGTCGGGGGTCGTGGCCCTCGCCCTCTTCGACCATCCTCCAGCTTGTCGTCGTCGTCGTTATCCTCCTCCTCCTCCTCCTCCTCTTCCGCCTCCTTCTCTTCCCCCTCCTCCGTTTTCGTCCTCGATCGTCTTGGGATCCCTGGCTATTGCACCGCCCCCCCTGTCAGAAGAGCTTTGTGTTGCTTGTCGCGTCTACTACCATCATCCCCGTCTCCTTCCTCCAAAGGTCTCCTCTCGCACCTCAAATGTCTACGATGCTGCTCGTGCGGCGGTGCGCGACCTGCGGTTTCCAGCTCAGGCGCGCCGCACCACGGGGTAGGGTGGACGTCAACGTCGTCGTCGTCGTCGTCGTCGTCGTCGTCGTCGTCGTCTTCGTCTTCCCCCCCTCAGGCTCTTGCTCCTCTTCGACCCGTCGCCATTTTGGCCCAAGCCGTTTCCCACTCGATCGCCCAGGCGCGTCTTAGACCTCCTCCCCCTTTCCAGCCCATCGCTCTTCTCTCACCTGGTGTGGGGGGCACGCCGTTCCATTGGATGACAGCCCAGCTGGCGAACACAGTCGCCCAAATCAGTGTCAGTGCCTGTCGAAGGAAGAAACACGGGGACCATGACCAAGATGCCGCGGGATCTTGTCGACGCCGATCGTGGTCGTGGTTCATGCCGGCCGTCGCCGATCCGCGAGGACGATCCAAGCATCGACGCTGGCCAAAAGGAGCCGTGACCGAGATCGGCGCCGACGTTCCGCGTTCAGTCTTGTTTCCCCCCCGTCGGGCCCCATCGGGGCCCGGCGGAGAGCTCCGTCGAGGTCCCCGCCCGCCCCCCAGGGGGCCCCCCAGGGCTTCGGTGGCAAGCACCACCCTTCGCAGAACACGCCCTTCCAGATGGGCGACCTTTTGATTTTTCAACACGGGGTCCCTGGAAGTCCCGACCCTTTTCCCCAGGGCCGGTTTTTCATCTTGAGTCTCGTGTTCTGACGGTCCCGAGGCCCGGCGAGGGCCCCCCGAGGCCGAAATTGGCCCAAAACCTCTCGTCCCGATTTTCTTGCTTGACGTCAGCATGTCTGGGTTCGGAGTCGCTGATCACGGTCCTCGTCTTGCCCCCCTCCCGCCACGCCCACCTCGGCCGGCGCCCCCGCCGCCCTCGGCGGCACTGCGCCCGAGCACGCCTGGGCACGCCGCGCGGCCCCCGGGGTGTGCGGGCAGCACCTCCGGTTCCGGCGCCGCAGCTCCGGCAGCGCCCGACTCCCGAGCGGCACGGCCGCCGCGCGCTGTCGCAAAAAAGTCAGGACGGGGGGTTTTGGCCAATTTCGGCCTCGGGGGGCCCTCGCCGGGCCTCTGGACCGTCAAAAAACGATCCAGGATGAAAGACCGGTCCTGGGGAATGGGTCGGGATTTCCAGGGACCCCGTTCTGAAAAAAATCAGGACGTCGCATGTTTGGGTCGCCATGCTGTGGATGGCCACGATCCTCGTGGGACCACTCCGAAAAATTTGACACAGCATCGACAGAAACGTGCTGCACATACGCGGACGACGGGTTCAGTGGAGGACATGCTGCGCATGCAACAGGAGTGGGGCCATCTGGAACGTGTGACGGCTCGACGGGCCAACCATGAGCAAGGCTGGTTGCGACAAGTAGGTCTTTAAGAAATCCGTAACCACAATTTGTCCAACAATACTTGGGGACTATAGCGGACGGGACCACACAATCCAGAGGTGGCTATGGAATTGTATGAGTAGCGTTGTAGTCCTATTGTTTTTGCCTGGAGGGACCGCCCCCCCGGCGGCGGCTGTTCGACCAGCGCAGCTTGCTAGACGGGCGGTAGTCTCTCTCAAACGATGGAGGGGCGCGGCCCCAAATGTCCTCAGGATGCTTCTCGTGGGGCACCTGGCAGATGTGCGGTGCCACCTTTGCCAGCGCTCTCTACAACTGCTCCGCTTCCGACTTCGCCGGCAGGGACAGGACACCCTGGCCACCCTGGGGGCGCGCCGCCGCACGGGCGCAAACCAGGGGCCCCACCCATCCTTACGAGACCCAGTTGGCTGCTAGTGGTGCCTGGCGGAACGACAGCGGGGAATGGCGAGAACCGAAAGGGACCCTCCGACCCACTGACGGGACGGCCAAAGTCAGGAGGGAAAGAAACACACAGACACAATTCATCGGCGATTCCCAGAAAATATGGGAAAATACAGGAAGTGGGGGGGAAGACAAAAACCTAGAAAATATGGGAAACATATGGGGATTTTTTTATTTGTGTGTATTTCTTTGTGTGTCCTGGGGCCCCTTCACAAAGCAGCAGCACGAGCTTCGCTTGATCGCCCAGGCTGCCGAACTGTCCGTGGCCAGCCCTTTGGCAGCGGGCGCTCCCTTCCCGGCAGTCGCTCTCCGTGCGGCCCAGGATGCACTACGCAGTGCTCCCAACGTGGCTTCTCACGTGGCCGCGGGCCTGTGTGGACGTGTTGTGTCGGACGCGCTTCTGCAATCCCAAAGAGGAGAAGTATTATAAGTTTGCGACCACTGTGGCAGGGCACCACAGTAATACTTCAAGTGTGTCGGCTGTTTGCGACCACTGGGGCAGGGCACCCGCGTCGGGGTCCCGACAGCCGGTCTTGCGAGCAGGCCGGGGTGGTCCATGACGTAACCTACCAGAACAATGACGGCATCCACATGGCGTCGAATGGTAAAGGCCATGGCCATGATACGGCAAGGAGTTCTACACGCTCGCTTTGCCAAGACACACGAGGGGGGGTCCGAGTGCGAAGAAGCACGGCGCCACAGCCTGGGATGCAAAACCCTTAAATCACAACGAAGCCAAGCACATTTTTTGGGACTACGTGACGGGACCGCACGGTACGCCGTGGCTCCAGACTGCAGCTGGGCACGCACTCGCGACGGCGCCAGACGTGCCGGCGGCTGGCTGCGATACGCCGAGCACGCGCGCCTATCCGCTCACGACTCAGATATATAAAAACACTGCAAGAAGGGCTGGCGGCAGCGGTGGGCGCCGAGCGGAATGGCGACGCCGCTGTAGCGCGGTGCTGGAGCTGCGTCGTTCCCGTGGTGGTTTGGGTGCCGCGGTTCGGCCCAGGGTCGATTCGCAACTTCGTGTCTCACAAACGCGGCCGCTGTAGCGCGGTGCTGAAGCTGCGTCGTTCCGCGGTGGTTTGGGTGCCGCGGTTCGGCCCAGGGTCGATTCGCAGCTTCGAGTCTCACAAACGCGAGTCTCACGTTTCTCCGCCGTGCGCACGCGCTGTCGGAATTGTCGTGGCCGCTCATGCTGCGCAGGTCCTGCCCCGCGCAGGCAGCTTTTGGCGCGAGGGGCCAATGCGCGGACATTTGCCCTAGGGGGTGCGCACCAGCCTCGGGGCATGGCGGTGGTCCTCCTCCTCTTCCTCCTCCTCTTCCTCCTCCTCCTCCTCTTCCTCCTCCTGTTTCTCCTCCTCCTCTTCCTCCTTTTGCTTCTCCTCCTCCTCCTCCTCCTCCTCCTCCTCCGCGTCTTGGCATTCGGGGCGCCCCCTCGTCGCAACGGAAGGAAGGAGGTGGCGGCAGGGAATAATGAAGCGGGGGCAGCAGGTGGCGCATTAGTTCTACGGTACTGCCGCCACAAACGTCGCCCGCTGCCTGCTCTTCAGACAGGGCCGGGAGACTTTTCCAGCCGCTCCACCGCACGAGCGGCCGCCGAGAGGAGATGCAGGAGCATCGGTGCGGGCGCCTCTGGCGTCATGGCCGCCTCGAACTCGGCCAGGCCCTCCAGGAGCGGCTACTACACAGCAACTGCGTCGCGCCCAATGGAGGCCACAGTCGCCCGCGAGGCCGATGCGAGTTTTGCCTCCGAGAGCTGCATGCCGCAGCAGCGAGATCATCTTCTGCAGTGGGTCATCCTCGGCGCGCAAATACCATGAAACTGGATACACAAGGCGCTCCACGTATGTGCCGTACGTGAAGCTGCCACATGGCCATTGTTCTGCAGTCGGGCGCCACCAGCCGTCCGCGGGCGCGGGCGGCGAGCTTCTCCGGTTGCTCGTGATCCGGGCCCTGTATAGGGTGGCTTTTCGTCCGCTGCGCCCCATCGAGGGCCTGGCGGTGAAGCAGGAGGTGGTGGTGCCCCAGACGGCCGCCGTGAGCGTGAGTGATTGGCCCGGGTGCCACGTGGAGGGAGGGAGGGACTCCTTCTCCTCCTCCACCCCTCCCCCTCCTCCTCCTCCTCCTCCTCCTCCTCCTTCTCCTCCTCCTCCTCCTCCTCCTCCTCTTCCTCCTACTACTCCTCCTCCATCCTCCCTCCTCCCTCTTCTCTCCTCTCTCCTCCCTCCCCTCCTCCCCTCCATCCTCCCTACTCCTCCCTCTTCTCTCCTCTCTGCTCCCTCCCCTCCTCCCCTCCCTCCTCCCTCCTCTCTCCTCCCTCTTCCCTCACGAGGGGACGCGCTGACCCCCAGTCTCCCATTCAGCACTGGTAGGAGCCTGCCAGCCCATGCCGCCCAGGAGCGTGCGGAGTCGCCATCGGGAGCGTATTGCCGATCTATCGGCGTGGAGCCTCAGATGAGGAGGGGGTCCGTGACCGTTTTGGCTCGAGACTTCGGCTCGTCAGGCTTGGGCCCACCAGGGGGGGCGGGGGAGCGGAGGTTGTGCCGTGCCCTCAGTGGGCCCTAGAAGCCACAGGGCCGTTCTTTTCAACGTTTTCGAAAACGTGTCTCTTGAACATGGAAACGGTAAAACAACGGCGACCGTGAGCGGACACGGCTCCAGGATTGGGACTGGAACCATAACCAGAAAGAAGAACGGCGCCAGGACCGCGGCAACAGAAACGGCGACGGAGCTGGCAACAACAAAACGGCAGGATGGACCCGGTGTAAACGAAGAATTGCCTTGTCGTTTTCCAGGGCCCACGCCGGGCCCCCCTCCAGCAGTCACTGATGGGCCCATGTTCCACCACAACTACCATAGGTAGGAGAGGGAGGCGGAGGAGGAGGAGGAGGAGGAGGAGGAGGAGGAGGAGGAGGAGGAGGAGGAGGAGGAGGAGGAGGAGGTCGGGCTCCATATATGGTAACGGGGGTGGAGAATTCGCACATCAGTCGCCAGGGGCGCCAGCTACACCCGCCGAGACGGGAATGGCGGGCGGCGGCGCCGGCGCCGCGGGAGAGGCGCTGCCCGCCCAGGCGGAGGCAGGCCGAGGGGCCGCGGCTGGCAGCGCCGACGGCCTGCGGGAGGCCGGGAACGAGCGGGCGCGCGCGGGCGACCACGCCGGGGCGGCGGAGTGCTACGAGGCGGCGCTGGCGCGGCTGCGGGAGGAGGGCGCCCCGAAGGTCGGCGGTGAGCGCGGGGCGTCCAAGAAGTCCTCCTCCTCCTCCTCTCTTCTCTCCTCCTCTACTCCTCCTCTTCTCTCCTCCTCTTCTCTCCTCCTCTTCTCTCCTCCTCCTCCTCCTCTCTTCCTCCTCTCTCTCCTCCTCCTCTCTCTCCTCCTCTCTCTCATCCTCCTCCTCCTTCTCTCCTCCTCCTCTCCTCCTCCTCACTCCTCCTCCTCCTCCTCCTCCCTCCTTCTCCTCCTCCTCCTCCTCCTCCTCCTCCTCCTCCTCCTCCTCCTCCCAAAGCACGGCCCGAACCATGCCCGCGGACAAGGGGGGGGGGACGCATTGAAAGAAGAAGGGGGGGCCCTGAAACGCGGGGAGACGTCACGGCCCCGGCCATGGTATGTTAATCATCACCACTCTCCCCAGACATGATCGCGTCGTGAAAAACTCAGGACGGGAGGTTTTGGCCATTCTCGACCCCTGAGAGCCCTCGCCAGTCCTCGGGACCGGCAAAAAAGGACGCAGGACGAAAAGCCGGCCCCAGGGAAAGGGTCGGGACTTCCCGGGACCCCGTATTGAAAAAATCAGGACGTCGCATGTCTGGGAAGTGGAAGGCCCTCTCGGAAGGCAGCGGGGCTTCTCAGAAGCCCTCGGGCCCTCGAGCCTCCTGAGAAGTGTCCTGTGTCTTCGAGCAGAGCTCCGGCAACTTCTCAGAAGGCCGGGGGGCTCGCGAGCCTTCTGAGAAGAAGGCCCGCCCCTTCTCACTCTCCCCCTTCGCTCGCCCCCGAGAAGGACAGGTACGCGCCGGTGCACAGCAACCTCAGCCTGGCGCGGCTGGCGCTGGGGCAGTCGGGCCGGGCGAAAGGGGGGGATTGGGAAAGGGGGGGTTACGAAATTTGCTGCATGCAGCTGGTTTCGGCCTCACCGAGGGGCCCATTCCTCGATACATGGCCGCCTCCAGGTGCCGGGAGGCGCCGGGAAAATCAGCTACGTGAGCTGATTCTCAAACCCCCCCTTTGCTATCCCCCCTTTCGCCCGGCCCGAGGCAGGCCGCCCAGGCCCTGGAGAGCGCGGAGGCCTCCGCCCGGGCGGACGGCGGCTTCGCGAAGGCCTACTTCCGGCAGGCGAGGGCGCTGCTGGCTCTCGGGAGGCCGACGACGATCACGACGGCAACGACGACGACGACGACGACGACGACGACGACGACGGCGACGGCGACGGCGACGACGACAGCGACAACGACGACGACGACGGCGACGGCGACGACGACGACGACGACGACGACGACGACGACGACGACGGCATCGAGGCCCCACGAGGCTGCCATCCGCGCCCGATGCGCGCTGTTCCTGGAGGGCGGCTACGGGTCGGCCGCCAGCGCGGCCTTCCGGGGCGGCGGGGGTGCTCGCCCAGGTGCCCAGCCTGCCGGCCGCGGCTGCCCCGCCGAGGTGCTCAAGCTGCTGGGCGAGGCCGGCGCGGCCGCGCGGGCGCGGCGCGCGGCCGCGCCCGCGGCGCCCGCGGTGTCTTCGGGCGACGCCGTGCCCGTGTGCTCCAGTCGGAGAAGAGAACACGGCGGAAACATAAGCTTCTGGCGTTCCGCGCGGGTTTCTTGGATCCGCGCTGGGGCCCCACTGGCGGCGCCTCCGGCGCCGCCCCCGCTCCGCGCGCCAGGGAAAAGGTGGTCCTTCGCAGATCCAAGAACTCCGCGCGGAACGCACAACGTTTATTCTCATGCCGCTTCTTCTTCTTCCATCCATGCTGGAGGTGGTGCAGGAGGTGCCCGAGCTCGTGGTCCGGTGCTGCGACGGCCACGGCCTGGGGAGGCTCGGCGGCTGCTCGCGGCGGCTGCGCGGAGTGGTCTGCCGCAGCCAGCTGCTGCGCCGGCGCGCCGCGGAGCTCTGCCCGGAGGGGTCCCCCGGGTGGCTGCGCACGGACCTCCTGCCGCTGGTGCCTGGCCTGGGCGACGGCGCGGGGTGGTTGTACGCGGCGCGCAGGGCCGCCGCTGGCGCTGCGGTGCGTGACCTCCTCGCCATCGCCGGCCAGGACCAGTCGGTCCGCACGTGCGAGCCGATACCAGGAGGTGGCGCGGCGCGGCTTGTGCGAGTGCCAGCGAGCTGCTTGCCATTCACGCTGTGCTGGGGCCCGCAGGGCGAGTACCTCGCCTTCACCGCCCTCAGGCTGAGCACCGCGCGGCCCGCCCTGGTCCTCGCCCCTGCGCCAGGGCGCGGCGGAGAGCCCATCATCACCCCGCTGATAGGGGGAATGTTGCCTTACTACATCTGTCCCTCGCCCTGCGGCACGCGTGTGGCACTGCTTGGCAAGTTCGGTGGCAGGCAGGCGCTGCTGATCGCGGACGCCTCGCAGGTGGTCGCACCCGACCGCGAGCTGGCCCCGCCCGTCTCCCTCAGCGCCCTGGGCACAGCCGCGCCACTCTACTTTGATTGGGCGCCGCACCGCCCAGATCTACTTCTGGCATGTGCAGGGCGGCATGTTGTCCAGGTTCCAGGGCACGTCGTGTCAGAGGCGGCGGGCCTCGAGAAGGCGCTCGAGCAGAGACCCTGCGAGCCGGACCCGGAGATCACCGTGCCAGACTTCCCGCCGCCGGCCTTCTCGTTCCGGGGCGACCGCGTCGCTTGGCGCGCGCCGCAGTGGCTACCCGCATCCCCGGGCCACCCGGAGGGCCGCTGGCTTGTGCCCCGCGACGGCGCTGGCGGCAGGGTGTCCCTGGCCCTGGTGGTCCCCGCGACGCTCGAGAGCGAGGTCGTCTGCGAGCATCTGCCTCCGGACGTGCACTTCGCCGCCTCGAGCTCCTGCCGATGGGTCGCCTGGTCCGGCCTGCACGACGCGCGCGGGCACGGCGGCGTCTTCGCGAGGCGCCTGCCGCCCTCGGAGGGGTCCCCGCTGATGGTGTTCAGTGGCGCCGCGGAGGCGCTGTCCTGGGGGGGCGACCGGTTGGCGCTGCTGCTGCGCGAGCCCGGCAACACTGGCCAGCTGGTGTGGGCCGTGTGGGACCCTCCAGAGGACACCGCCTCGGGGGCAGCGTTAGGGTTGAGTCGGGCACGTCCCTCTACGGGAGGAACATTTAAAAACAAAACAGTCAAAGAATAGTCTGGGGACGATTTTTTAGAGTTAGTTTCGAACTTTTGTTTTGTTTGTTTTGCTTTGTTTTATTCTTTTGGTTTTGTCCAAATTCTGCCTGTAGGGGGACATGCCCGACCTAACTGTAGGATGGAAATAGGCTCCGGGGGGGGGGAGACGCATCGACCCCCAATCGCCCACGCATCGCCGACGGGGGCCCGATGGCCCACCCCGCCCAGGAAAGAGCGCGACCTCGCTACCGGGGGCCTGTCGCTGGTCTGTCGGCGACATGTCGCCGATTCCAGGTCGATGCGTCTCTCCCTGAGCCGCCCCCCCCCCGCCCTATCGTTGCCCCTTGCAGCTGCCGGGTCCCTGCCGGGCACGCTCACCATCGCGCCCGAGGCCTTCGAGCCGAGCCACCACACGGCCGAGCGCGTGCTGCCCTTCTTCGACCAGTTCGAGCGCCGCATGCGCGTGTGGAGCCCCCGGGGCGACGCGGTGGTGCTGGCGGACGCCAACGGGCAGGTCTGGGTGCAGCCCTTCCCGCGGCCGGGCGACGACGCAAACGCCGCCGCGGGCGGCGCGGGCGGGCGGGAGCACCCGTTCTCGCTGCTGGTGGGCGCCTCCAGTCGGAGGCTCAAAGGTGGGGTCCTGAGGGATGGTGAGGATCGGGAGGAGTTCCAGGGTGGACTCTCAGACATGATGGCGTCGTTTTATTAAAGAACAAATCAGGACGGGAAGTTTTTAGCCAATTTCGGCCTCGGGGGGCCCTCTCTGGGCCTCGGGACCGTCAAAAAGCGGCTCAGGATGAAAAACCGGTCCCGGGGAAAGGATCGGGATTTCCAGGAACCCCGCATGGAAAAAAACAGGACGTCGCACGTCTGGGTTTATATTGCTTGAGGCACCTCGCCCTTAGAGGACCCCATCTCTCAGGACCCCCTCCTTGAGCCTCCGATCCAGCGCGCTGCGGGCGGCGCCTCCCGCGTTCCACGTCGGCGAGGGCGTCTTCGCGTGCTGGTCCCCGCTCTGAGGCGCGCCCAGGGGGTCAGCCACCATAAGGGTAGAACGGTTGCGCCATGGGGTGTGATCTGCGAGCGGCGCCGTGGGGGCCGCCTCGGGGCGCGCCTCGAGGCCGTCGGGGGGGCCACGGCACGGTCCTCGTCGGGCCGCCTCGGGGCGCGGCGGGGAGCTGCGTCGACGTCCTCGCCCGCCCTAATTTGGGGTGGCCCCCGGAGTGCCTGCCAGGGCGCCCCCTCCCGGGGGCCTTCCAGGGCGCCCGGGGGGCTCCCGAGGTGCCCCCCCAGGGGGCCAGCTGCAGACCACCCCCTCTGCAAGCCACACCCGCCGGAGTCGCCGAGCGGGAGGGTCACAGAGGTTCCGTCAAGCAGTGGCGAAGAGTCCTGGTTTGCGTATAGGCCCATCGACCACGTTAGCGTAGAATCGTGTGTCTTCGTGGTTTGCGCGAACGGTTCTCAGAGCACTTCTGGCCAGGACGGCATCGTTTTTCCTCCATCGGTAGTACTGGGCACGAGCATTCTTGCTGCTGTTACCGCACGCTTGCCTCTGAGAGCATGCCGTGGTAGGCCTCTCTAGGCATGCCGGGGCGCGGCCCCTCCTCAGTTCCGGCTCCCGCATCACCAGGATTTGGGGGGGTGGTCGGGGGCAGCGCCCGATTCGTGCCTCGGGGGCCCCACCTCGACCCAGACCCAGACCCCCTCGAGTAATGAAAAAATCATGACGGGAGGTTTTTCCTAGTTTTCGGCCTCTGGGGGCCCTCACCGGGCCTCGGGAGCGTCAAAAAACGACTCAGGATGCAAAGCCGGTCATGGGGAAGGGGTCGGGACCTCTGGGGGTCGACGTAATGAAAAAATCATTACGTCGGGGGTCTGGGGAGTCATCCTGGACGATTCGGCGTCCCAAGAGGTGGATGTGCCGACCCGGGGAGGACCGAGGCACCCGGGCAAGCGGCCTGTCCACTGGAGGTTGCGGCCCGGCACCACCCGCGAGGGGAGAGGAATGGCCTTCGGAGGTGTTCGGAGGCTCCTGGTGTATAGCTTCCGGGCCCCGCCGAGGGCCTTCCGGGAAGGCCAAGTTGGCTGAAACGTCCGGTTGGGGCTTGAGTTGTCGCCCGACAGCCTCCTGGATGGAGGGTGGGTTGGAGGACGATGCGGGGGGAGTGTTGATGCATCCCGGGGGGTACCTCGTCGCCACGGCTGGATTCGCCCCACCCACCCACATCAAGCGACGCCCAAGTGTGCCATGTCGATCGACCGATCCACGGCAGGGAGAGAACGGCCCCAGGGGCGGGCTCTCGGAGGCAGAGGCCCCGGGGGGGGACCACGGCGCCGTGACGAGGCCGCGCGGGTCGGAGGTCTCGGGGCTTCTGGCCCTGCGCCCCCTCGCCTCCTCGGGGGGGAGGGGAGGGAGGCGAGGGGAGGGAGGCGAGGGGAGGGAGGCGAGGGGAGGGAGGCGAGGGGAGGGCATACTTCGGCGAGGGGAGGGAGGCGAGGGTCGCTCCTATAGGGGGGCCTCTGGCGCCTTGATCCGAGGGCTCGAGGGCCCGAGGGCCCGAGGAGTCCGAGAGCTCGAGGGCTCGAGGGTGCGGGAGCTCGAGGGTTCGAGGATCCCTCTCCGATCCTCCCGCCGACGACGGCGACGGCGACGAAGGCTCGCGCGGGAGCGCGTGTGCGCAGGGAGGGAGGGGCAGAAAGGGGCAGAGGAGGGCGCGATCGCAGGGGTCCCACCTCGTCGCCCTCCTCCTTCCCCACGCCCCCCTGTTCCAGCTCGCTTGTCTTCTTCTTATTACTCTTCTTCATATTCTTAGGCGTCTTCTTATTACTATTTTTATGATTCGTGTTATGTTCTATTATTGATACCATCAGCATTTGTATTTTTACTAAGATTAATATTACTACTACTATCTGTATTAGTATTATGCTTATGCTTTATGGTTCCTCTTATTATTCTACTCCTGCACCTCACCTCCTTATTTTTGACGTTGTCAGACTTTAGCTCAGTGGCTCCAGCGTTCTGCCTCACCTCCTTCTCGTCCTCCTCCTCCTCCTCCTTCTCATCGCCCGTCTCGCCCTCGTCCTCTCTTGGCCCACGTTGCACCTTCTCCTCCTCCTCCTCCTCCTCCTCCTTCCTCTTCTTCGTCCTCGGCCTCCACCTTTTTACGCAAGCCTGTATAGTCGATCGTTCCTTCACTTTTTTCCACACCCTCCCACGAGCCAAGCTGCTCCTGATCCTCCACCTTGGTCGCTCTGTGCCAGCATTGAGCTGCGCCCGTTTTCTGTCTGTAACCCAGTACTCCGTCCCCCAATCCACCCCCCCCCTCTGCCTTAGCGCCACCGCACATCCTCCTCCTCCTCCTTCGTCCTCTCCGTTGCTCTCCTCCGTCTATCGCCCCCTTATGTTCTTCTTCCCGCCCTCATTCCTGTCCTCATCCCTGTTTCATGTCCCCACTTCCTCGCCTTCTGGTCATGATCATCTTCCTCCTGACACCAGACATTACGCAACTGCGTGTTCTCGTAGGTATGGAGGAGAAGGGTGGAGCAGGAGGAGGAGGAGCAGGAGGAGGAGGAGAAAGGGAGGAAGGAGAGAAGACGAGGGAGTGGGAGTTAGGCAGAGGAGTACAATGAGGATGACGAGCTCCCGTTATTCATCAATAATTCTGGAGCCCACCCTCCCGTCCCAAGACCCTTCTTCACAAGTCCTGAGGGTACAGGGATCCCTCGTCACGATAGGAAGCGAAACTGTGAGTCTGGAGCGACCCGTGGGCTTGCAGCCCGCGCCCGCCAGAGAAGCAGCCGAGCAGCGTTTGTTGGGCCGCGCGAGTGCGCGGGCGCCCGCAACGGCCCTGGCAACCGCGAACAGGCACCACGTTTTTTGTTGCCGCACGCGGACGCGCAGCCGCACCTGCAAGGCACGCGCAACCGCGATAGAACACATCTCACACACGCACATCTTCCTGGCCCCCGGCTAGCGCCTACACAGGCGCAGCCGCTCTCGCGGCCGCAGGTGCCACCGCAGTCGGGGCGCACGCCGTCTGACCGCGCACGCGCGCACCCGCAACTGCACGCGACGCTGCCCGCGGCGGCGTGCGACCGCCCGAAGATCGCACAGGCCGCCTGTGGCGGCGTGCGGCCGCCCGCGGCGGCGTAAGGCCGCACGCGCGGCCGCCGGCGGCAGCGTGCGAACGCCCGAAGGAAGGAGAGGGCAGGTCGAGGAGACGGCAGCAGGAGGAGCATGTCGAGCGAGAGAGGGGCAGGTCGAGGAGCGGGTCGGGGAGAGGGCAGGAGGAGGAGGAGGAGGAGGCGGAGGAGGAGGAGAA